TTTTAATTTATCAATTTTGATTAGATCAAAATAATATTTCACGTCGTTAGACATCGTGGTCGGGAACCTAATCGGTCACACACAAAAGAGAATTGGAAGATTGCAAATTGCCAATTGGTTAATTTAACAATCGTTGGATAAATTAATTAATTGGATTTGTTATTTATATTTTCGAATTAATTAATTGGATTAATTAATTCACGGACCGGGTTTAATTAATTGGATTAATTAATTATTGGACCGGACCGGGCCGAGCCTGTTTGGGTTTATATAAATACATAACTAGGGTTTGAGGTCCATTAAGGTTTTCATTATTCTTGCTGGCACAAGAGAAAACCCTAGAGGCTGCAATCATATTCTCTGTGTGGATCACCGTTGGAGGCTGGACAATTGGACAGCTGTGGTGGCGAATCAAAGTTTTGGAACGAAAAGAAAAGCAAAAGGATTGCAGATCTGGAAAAGGTACAATCTTATCACAATTCTTAACCAAACACAATGAGATCTATTGGATGGGAATCGAAATTATCTTAAATTCCGCTGTGCATATATAAGTAGATTCCCAACACAAAAAATATAGTTTTAAGGTGGAAGATGAAGGAAAACTCCATCATATATTTGCATGTGTCTCGTATATGAAACTAAAAATCTTGTTTGTAGGTTGTTAAATAACTCTTCCCAAGAGTTATAATCCTTAGCAAAAGTCACAAATTTATGTATTTTAAGTTAAATAATTAGGGTGAAAATACACAAAAAAACTGGAGGAATGGGTGCCAAAGACCTTGCTCTAGGGAGAGTCAGACATCGACCACAAGCGTAGGGCGGGTTTCAGGTGTCATTAGCGGCTGCCCATCCCCCCACAGGCATGCAGAATACCTACATGCTGCCCTCCGGCTGCCCAATGCACCAAGGCTCGTTGATCCAACCTAGTCTCCCCACTCTCAAACCTTCACCGAACTATTTCATTAACTCTTGGGAGCTCACAAACACATCTAACAATGTCCAAAACCGATGTTATTTGAAAATTCTGCCACAAGATTTAACTTCTTTTGTAAAACGAGCCTCTATAATCAAATGCCTAAAGCAGTTCCAACTAATTTACAAAGAAATTGCTGGAAAATTCTCGGTCATATCACTCTAAGGTAATTTTTTCAATCATTTTAGATGAATTAAAGTAACCATAATTCTTATTAAAAATAAATAAAAAATAAAAAACCAAGATTATCCATCGAAAGTACAGAAAGCTGAAATAATAATCATAAGTGGTAAGCTAATTTGCACAAGTCAAATGTATAATTATAAAAAGTGTCCTTTGTTTTACTCTGTAATCTCATAATAGAGTAATCAGCTCATAAATAGCCTAATAAAGCCTTTCGTTCCTTTCCATGGAAAATATTCCTGATCCATAAGTAGAGTGCATAACATCAGCCAACAAAGGAAACTGTAAGAATGCAAATAGCGTGACTGGAACACAAGCTGTGAGAGCAATCGGGATAATAATCCAAGCCAGTTGATGTCCAACCACAATGAAAAAGCTTGCACTAAAAGCAAGTAGCATTGATGCTATCGAAAAGAAAAGTGTTGTTAGGCCAATAATCAGCCTCTTCGGCAAAGACTCAAGGAAATCTTCTTCAGCATAACGCGAGGTGAGGATAGATAAGAACATCAATATAGATGTCACAGAGGAGAACAGAGCTAGTGCATCTGACATGGAGAAAATTATAAATGACTTGTCCTTAAGGAACATAGGGGTTCCTGTATCATTGTTGTTGCCTCCTGGTACTGTAAAAATTGCGGCAAACATTACTGTAGTAATAAGTGTTGCAACAAGCATGCAGGACGATGCTGTATCCTTCATCCATTTCTCCCCACTCTCTACTAATCCCTTGTGTTCCTGAGTAAATAGCATTTGGGGTGTTCTACCTTCTGAGTCTTTCATTTCCTTGTATAATGGCAGCATATTCTTCTCAACTTCCTTTGAATGTTAATAAGAAGACGAGTCAAAACACGTGGAAAGCAATTTTAATTAACTTAAACGAGAAAGAATAAAGTTTGAATACAATTTGAAAGTCACCTTAAACCATAGCAACTCCCGTTGCATTTGAAGTGCTGCACCAGAGACAATATTAAGTCTGTTTGAAGGAGCCAAGTTTGCAGCCAAGTGCAACATGTTACAATTGCTGGGGTTCTTATAGGATGTGATCAAATCTTTGTATGCTCCTATGTCATAAAGAAGTTTGAAGATTTTTTCTTGGCGATGAATAACAGCAATGTCAAAAATGCTTCGACTTTGCTCATCAACTTTCCAAATGAGATCAGGACAGGAGAGAAGAAGCTCCCTAATGAACTGAAAGTTTCCAAATTCTGTAGCTATGAACAATGGTCGTGAAGGGCTCCTGAGTAACTTCCCAATTTCTGAATCATCCAATAAGAAGAGAACCTGTTTCCACAAGAATTTTACCAACTCCAGGGCTTGGGATTGCATCAGCGTTTTCTCAATGGCTCCCTGGATTCCTAGAGTTATGAGGAAACAAAAGTCAAATCACCAAAGTTGATGAACATGCTTATTGTGGGACTTGTAATGCATTCTATACCTGTTAGGTGCATAACAAGATTGAGAAGTCTGAAGTTGCTAGTACGACCAGTCTTGTTCAACAGTTTTGCACTCACACCTGAAATATAGCTTGATGTAGTAGAATTCTAGAATACTTGATTCAATAACGAACACAAATGAGAGTCCCTTTTCAGATTGCCATGCTTTAACCGATTAACATATTGATTACAATTTAAACAGAAATGAAAAATCTTACAGCGGTAAGACATCTCTTCCAGATTCCTAGTTCACTTTTGCCTGAAAATGCTGGAGTCTTTCGTGCTAGAACATGAAGTGCTGTCTCGCCACTGGGATCTCTTTCAATGGCTAGTTCTGGTTTCTGTTCAAGTATATGCAGAGCAACATCTGAAAAATGTAAACAGTTTGCCTCATCTATGCTGTTTTTTAAAATTATTTATATATACGTTTGTGGATCGATTCCTATCTCACCATATAAATCAGAGCTAATAGTTGCAATTAGTAGTCCAACATAGTCCTCTTTGGTAAGAAATTGGCTATCCGTTACCGAAGAAATATACCAGACCATGTCTCTGTATCCCAATAAAGCAGCAATGTGTAGGGCTGTCACTCCATTGATACCTCTTATCATAGGCAAGTATCTGTTTTTTGCTACCATTAACTCTGCAATTTTTGTAATACCAGATGCAACAGCAAAGCAAAGTGCAGTATTTTCATACTTATTTTTAAGTGCCAAATCCAATGGATTCATTATTTTGACCAATTCTTCTACAAATATTATCTGTTTTGCGCCTGCTGCAATATGCAGAACACTTTCCCCTCCGTTTGTGATCCTTGCAGTTATTGCTTGTGGATGTAGATTGAAAATTTTTTTTGCTTCTTCCCAATCACCCTTGAGTGCAGCAAGGTACAGAGGCACGTACAATGCAAGATTCCTGGCTGAATTAGTCCCCTCTAATGTTCATGAACAAGAGGCCCAAGTCAGAAAATCAATATAATTATGTTGGTCAAAGTATACAAAATGATGGCAGCGACAGAGAAATCCAGTGGAAAATACATCATTTTTTCTATTCGACTATTGGCAATATAAAAATATCAAGTGGAGGTTACCGGCTCTCTCCAAATTTAGCCATAGAATCTTATGGTAAAAAGGTTTTACTTACCGGCTCCCTCCGAAAATGAAAAACGATGTGCTTGTGTCTCGGCAGGAACGGAATGCATGAAAGTTTGATTTGGGATTTGAACATTGAAACAGTAGGTTAGCTGAACTGGAACAGGAGGGTAAGAAGTGATTCCAGTGTTGTTCAAGTCAGATTCTTCGGCACCACCAGAGGCCGGTATAGAGTTTAGTTCCAGGAAGCAGGACTGAATAGAAAGAGTTCTCTGAAGTTGAAACTTGCTTGAGTTTTCCATCACTGGCAACCAGATCAACTACTAGTTCGAGCTATGGAAATAAATAATAGCAAAAATTAGTTGAAAAATCAATCATTTATAGAAGCTACCCATTAGTTGTAAACTTACTGAGCAAGAAAATGCTCAATCAGTACAAGGAAAATTCCTAAAAGACGTGTGATATTAAGAAAACTAGAAAGTGTACTACCACTTTTATAAAGTAATTTCTACTCTTAATCTTTGGAAAGATAAAAGATGTAAAGTTCGGCTCATTTGGTCACGGAATCTTTGGAAAGATAAAGATGGCCCATAAAGTATGGTCAAATGAGTTCTAAACGTTTAGACGAATTCAAAATATAACAGCGGCATAAAGTTTGAAAATTCTTTTACCCATTTGGTTAAAACAAAAGAGAGCAATTTACGGGTCCATAAAGAGCTTGTTTGTGAGTGATTTTGAGAATTAATTTTTTGACCATTAGAAAAAAAGTGAGGTCCACTTGTGAGAGAAGAAGTCAAATATGACGACTAGAATAGTGAAATAACGATCAAAAAATCAATTTTTTTGGTGAAAAATCAGGCCCAAACAGGTCCAAAATTATGGGCAATTTTATAAATCAGGTTAAATGTAATTTTTTTTCCAAAATGTTTAACCATCGTAATTAATACTCTCATATCCCTTTAAAGTATTTTTAAGAGACTCATTAAATATGAGATGTTCTCTATTCTAAATAAGTAATCCTTAAAATCAAACTATAAGAGACTATTTAATTAACATATTAATTTAGAGAGTGGATTTGACTCTTCAAATTTGGAAAGCTAAACCCAGTCTCTATAATTAAGCCCTTGTCTGTGAGAAATTTTTAGAATATTGTTATTTACATCCATAGTTTTAATATGTATATCTACTTTTAAAAAGAAAATTATATTATATTTTTGATCTTATTTAAATTTACTTAAATAGACATAGATAAAATGAAACAAAAATATATTTTTCTAAATTCATCCACTAATGTTTATTTCCGTAAATTCTTTTAAAATTTTGTATATTCTTTTAGAGTTTGTGTCGAACTAAATTTGTAATAATCATAAAATATCGTCTTGAATGGAAATTTTAAAATAAAAAAAATAAAAAAATAAACACATTATTAGATCTATAAATTTTTCATAATATGAAAAATGGAACCTTACTTTTTATGTTTTGTTTTTTTAATTTGACAAATGAAAATATACGAGAAATTTCAAAAGAAGTTTCAATACTTGTCCAAATATTCTTACATTATTAAACAAAACAAACTTAAATTACCAATCGAAACACAAACAACCAAAATTATGAGTTTATAAGAAAAAAATTTAATTAATACATGATTCGAGAAGGGATTTGTTTGGTTGCGTAGCAGTATACTTTTGAGAGAATCCTATAAATTTAGAAAAGAAAAGAGATTTGCTAACCTTTATAACTAAATATTAAAGTACTGATATGGCAATATAGAAAATAAAAAGTAAGAACCAATTAAATGTTGATAGTGATTCGATGAATATAGTGATTTTCGAAATCGTATTAGAAATATATTTATAGTTGGATGAATATATAAAATTTGTATAGATATATAATATTCATATGAATGAATTTAATAATGACAATATTGAAATTTGGCGTGGATGGAAATAGTAATTTTTTTAAAATTTTATTATATTAATAGTGAAGTATATACTGTGGGAAGTAGATATAAAAACTGTGAATATAAATAAGAATAAGTGGGCTCTAGTGTTGCCAATTTTTTTTTTTTTAATCAATAAATTATCACCTAAAAATTCATTTCCAAATATACCCTTTGTGACATAGTCAAACATAGTGATTGATGGAAGTGTGTATGAGGGGGTAATATAGTCTTTTCCCACTAACTTCAAATTTAGGTGATAATTTATTTCTGTTGAAGGAGAGAGAGCAGTAGGATCTTTTTTATTGGCAACGGTCAAAAAATTGATAGCTATCTTGACAAAATGGGTTCCAAACAGGATGATGCAATATTAGGGGGACTATTATTATGTTTAACTTCCAATTTTAAGTTGTATTTTAAGAAATATAATTAGGTTTGATTTAGTTGCCTTTATTAGATATTCTCCTTCTTAAGATGGAATATTTCAAACCCTATATAAAGGGCTCTTTTACATTGTAATAAAGCAATTTGATTAGATGAAATAAATTGATTTCTCTCCTAATTTCTATCTTCTCCCCTTCCCCTCCCCTTCCCCTTCCCCCCTTCTTTCTCTTCTTCTTTACCTTTTCCCCTTCTCCTACAATTCTCCTAGTACATACGGCGTCAATTTGGTATCAGACTAGACAAATTTCCTTTGGCCAACAAGTCAAATCCATAACCTTCAACCCCATTTCATCTACCTTCACATACAGCCACCCTTGATAGCCTTCCACCACCTATTCAAAAGCCAATATCCACCCCCCACATACAACCACTCTTGAACAGCCCAAAACGAAAGAAAAAGAGGCATCCATCTTAGTGACAGCGGTTTTCAATCTTCCTTTAGTTCATTGTTCTTAGATAACCAAAAAATAAAAAATAAAAATCAAAGAGAGAGTAGGAATTGCTCACGTGCATAGTTGAAGAAGTTTTCTATCGAAAAAAAAAAGAAAAAAAAAGAGAAAAAAAATTGTGTTTCTACTGTTGTACACTTGAGTTCTACCATTCACCAAGGCCATAATAATAACCCTAGCCCATTTACATCCCTTATACAACTCACGCAACTGGCCAAGACCAATATACACTAAACCAAATTCCAAGCCCTAATTTCACAATATGACCAACAGCCCAATCTCACACCCAGCACATGCATCCCAAAACAACGGCCCAACCAAACTAAACAAACTTATAGCCCAACATACATATACATATTAAACAATAGCCTATATACACTAAATCAAGACCTGAAACCATAACCCATTACCCAGCCCATATCCATCTGTTACCTCCAAGCCCTAATTTGTCTCACCTCCTACCGGCAACACTGCATCTTCGCCGGTACACCCACAATTTCGCCTTCATAACCAGCAATCAACCCACCACCTATCGTAGCCATATAATTCCACTACCATCATCAACCCATTAACACGCCACAAGCACATCTCAATTGACCACCAGCATCAACCTCTCGCAACTATCGTCAACGGCATTCTTCACTTATCAGCCTACTTCTACTTTTCTCCAATACCCCACCTCACCACCGGCTACTCCTAGCCCCTTCACTACTCAAACTGCAGTAACAATAACAATTGGCTCTTCCCCTCTTCTTCTCCTTTCCCCCCTCTTTTCTCTTCTTCCTTATCTTCTTCCCTTCTCCTACAATTCTCCTAGTACATCCGGCGTCACAGGAGCTAAATGCATTCAAAGTGTCTCATTTTTCAATGTAGAAAAATAATAAAATAATTTAGAGAAAAGCTATTTAAAATAAAAGATAAAACAATCATAAATATTTTTTGGGGTAATAAAATCAATTTCATAAATATTTTTTGGAGTAATAAAATCAAGCGTTAAATATAAAGAGTTTGTTTGAATATTTCAAAATTCTAACTTTCTAAATATATAAATGCTCGCCAAATAATACAATATGCTCTTCAGAAATGGAATCTCTTAGAATACCCGCTTACTCCTCCTTCAATTAATGCCTCCACATCAGAGATCCCATGACTAAACCTCACATAGGCAAAATATGCTTATGTTATTTTGACAAAAATTATATTAATCTCTCATTACTTAAGTATGAAATGACAATTACATAAATCTATAATATATCAAATATCACAGGAAAAAAGAATTATTTTTTGGACAATTTTAACTCTACTATAATTTAATTATTTCAATAATATTTTACTTTTCATTTTTCAATGTGTAATAAATACTACAAATGTAGTATAATAAATCTAAATCATAGAAGTTGAGTTTTTAGTGTATAATTTTCTTCTATTAACAAATTAGTATCAAATATTATATTTATAGCACTTATAAAGTATTTCAAAATAACGTGCAATGCACAGTCCACTTTGACTAGTACATTGAAAAGTAGGGGCCCTTTGAAATATCATTATAAGAAAGATTTACATTTAACAAATGTATTAATTACAATGTTAAGCCCAAAATTGTTATTGTTAAATATTCATGAGGTATAATTAATTCTCAATCCTATGAGAAGAGAAAAGAAATACCATTAAACAAAAAGTGTGTGTGTGTGTGTATATATATATAAGGTACAATTTGTGTAGTGTGAAGATCTTCATATAACTTTTTTCTCGTGAATTTCCAAATTAGAAAAATATAGGAATGAATAAAATCCCTAATGACTCAAAGTTTCAAAACTCCGCAGCGATGAATAATTGTCGTAAAGGGATCCCAATAACTAAATCATCGTCATTAGGGTTTCCTACGTGATTGAGCACTTTGATTAAATGTAATTATACTTCTATTACTAATTTTACTTGTTACACAACATTATAATCACACCACAATTAAAATCAGTTTTAAAATGAAAACTTCACAATAAATTTACAGCTAGAGAGTCCTAACCAAAAAAAAATTAAAAATGCTTTTTTTTTTTACATTATTATAATGTATTCTCGAGTTAATTAAATAACTAACCACCAACATTTGTGTTCGGTTACTCTTTGCTCACCAAAAATTAAATAGTTACTGAATGGTCACTCACTTTTGAAAAAATTACACATCCAACACCGGTTTCACTTCCATCCATCCAACTAGGCGAAAATCTCCACGTGGTAGACAGAAATCCTATGTGGCCACTAATACCATTAATATTTGACAAGTGGCTACTAATTATTTGCACCTTCTTCCCACAAAAATTGAATGAAATGGATTTCCTCCAAAACAACATTTCTTCTCCTTCCCAATCTTCAACTCTGATTTCCCCAATCCTCTATATGAAAGCCTAGTTCATTTTCCCCAAATTATTTTTCATCCAAAATAAAAATAAAATAAAATTGCCACCTCCTATACCTCCTCATGGAAGAATCTTCATCAACTTGGAAT